TCAAATGATCGATAACAGCCCAGTTCTGGAGGAATTCAGCCTCAGTGAATATTCGTTCAGTTCGCATAAGGAAATCACTTTTATTCTTCAGAAGCAACATTTAATCGATTCCTCACTGGTCAAGAAAAAATCGACTTTTAAGGGTAACTTGCGGGCCGATTAGGCTTCAAAGATAGTCTAATAAGCAGATTTCCAAAATAATAATGAGCAAATATCGACTGCTTCTCTGTCATTACCGCCAACAACAGACCTAAAGCCAGACAGATAAAGCCTAAACAAATACAAGCAGATAAACAAATTTCGCAGACCGACTTACACATCATCTACCAGCACCTATTGGTAAGTATATATAAGGTATTTTAGCTAGTTTCAGAACGGTTGATTCGAAGGAGAACACCTGATTGAAGTCGACATTTTAATAAATAGAAAGGAAACTATTTATCAGATACGTGTGTTTTTTGATGCTTTGTTATTAACTGGCTTCGCATGTCTCTGACTGAGCTCAATTAATTTGCCTACTTTTCTAATAGGGCTTGTAATTATATGGATAAATCAACAGACGTTTTTGTTTCAGAGTGTTTAAATGAGAGGCATTGTACGATTTTTATTTAGTGTTAGGCTCCTCTAAATTCAGAAAAAAAACCCCTCTAAAAACTCTATTTGACCTCGATACAAGAAAAACAAAGCATAAGTTAAACAAAAAACTTAACTTAAATTACCATCGTCTTAATCAACGAATTAGAGTGGACTCGACGCTTCTATTCTATTTCGTCGCTGTTTTCTTGCGCTAATAAGCGACCACCTTCAGCTGAGTGCCCAGCAGCTGTTGAGACTTGTGGCGATGAAAAGGTCCAGTTTGGAGCAGCGTTTAATCTTCGTAAAAGCTTTCGAATAAAATGGAGAGTCGATTATCTTGACATTCCGCAAGTGTCGTACAGACAGACACAACACTTCTTATCGGCCTCCGAAACATTGAAGCAATCGATAATGAAATTACAAGAAACTGGCTTACCCACAAATAGAGAGAAGCCAGGGAGACCACGAACCAGGAGAACTAGTCATAGCATTGCTGCGGTGAGGAGCAATGCAGGTACTGATCTAACAACCCAAATATGCCGTTGCGCTCAACAGCTAAGCCTATCGAAGAGCAGCCTATGACGCATATTCAACTAAACAAGTGTTATCGAACCTCACAGGGTACAGCTAATTCAACAAATAGATATTCAGAAACATTGCAAGTATCGTCTGCTCGGCTCTCACGACATCTTGAAACGTAAGGCATCTGCTGGCGATTTTTGATCATATCTTACGTTGAAATTCATTTTAGCTAAATGACTAAATGCATAAACGAAGTCATTGCATCTGGGCTTTACAGAGTCCACTTTGTTCGCAAAGAATCACGTGTTTGGTGCGATTTGTGTAGTGAAAACGTCATAGAATCTGGAGTTTGACGATGAGACGTCAAAAGTGATAACGAGCGCCATCATGAGATGTGACAGACCATACTGAGGACTGAAATGAACGGACTGAATGAAAGTAATCATTGATTTCAACGAGACAGAAGAACTTGCCATACTGCGCAACTAACAATCAATAAGCTTGACTGCATTATCCTAGGTCGATTGATATTGTTACGTAGCGGCAAAGTCGCGTCACCGCCTTTTTCCTGACATCTGACTCTTGCCGATTCTTTCCTGTGAGGCTATGTGAAAGACAGTGTGCATCAAACAGCGCTGAAAATAATCTACAATGTGAAGCATCAAATGCGTCAAGCGATTAGAGCTGAATTACGCAGGATACGGGAGACCATTGTGTTCCATGTGTGCTACAGATTCAACTTTTTACAGTAGGCCAACGTGCGTATAAACACATGCTGGCTTTTCTTCTTACTTCCGAGCGCATTAAAATAGAATGAGAGTACTCTATAAACAAACTGTATATATATATATATCTGTCGAAAAATGGTTTCCAAATCGTTCAAACAGATTTATCTTACAGTATACTTATATAATTGACAAAACTATAAGAGATAAGATCAATATATCTCAAGCTTTCAAGGCTAGAACTGTACTTATTTCCTCAAATTTTATAGACTGTTCGCTTTGCTGTGGTTACAGTAAGGATTATTGAGTTATATTAGCCATTAATTACTTTAGTGTCATTTATAATGTTCCATAGTTCTCTGTGTGTGATATCTACATATGAACAGTATATATGTGCCGCAGCACTAGTCTTTAGGCATTAGTGTGTGCAAAGGTTTGTGATATCACCCCTACCAAATCTGTCCTCCGGTAGAGATGCTTACATATAGAACTGCTATATGCTGCTAACGTTGATTCAGTGTCATCGATGAATGCAGAAGCCCACCGTTTGACGACCACTCAACAGAGGTGTATACCTTCAAGCTGGGAAGCCTTTGACCCGCTTGACAATCTATTTACGGTGCTCCGTAGACATAATCGACAACAATTTTTGTTTTTGCTACGTACCTCTTAGATAAGCGCAATTCATGTATTTACCGATAATTAATGCACAACCGTACATAAGGCAAAAACATCAATATATCTGACAAAAAGAACACGCTTAACTTTAAAATGCTGCAACGGACCAATGTATGTGAGGGAGCTGCTCGTGACACCAGTCCGAAGCCCTTGCCGAACTGAATCCTATACATCTTTCTCTACCCACGTCTCAATTTTCAGTTCAGACGAACATCTTGGGTAGACATATTTTTTGAAAATACCCCCTAAAAATTTTAAAGAAAAATATCCAAATACTGAACACATTTACACGAGTAAGCACTTTGTTGATGCCAATTCAGTACCGCAATCGATACAGCTCGACGAGCTGTCTAAAAACCTTGCTGCAGCTAAAATAAATATCTCAGCCTGAAAAAAGCTAAAAACGGGAGTTCTAGCTTTTTCGCTTGTGCACTAAATGACAAAAGTGACAATAAAATACAACTTTTTACATGGATATAACTAGTTTTCAGTTTTCAAATACCGTTTATTTGAAGAATAACATCTTCACATTGTATTTTATGTAAATGGGGTTTTTCTTAATGCCTGTCGACCAATCTCGATGATTTGAAATAGATAGCAATATAAATCCTTATAGTAAAATTACTGCTTTTAAGTTTAAAAAAAGGCAAAAACCTAATGATGAGATCGATTTTTATATGTAACAGTAGAATGAAAATATGTTTTGAGCTGTATTTGAATTTCTAATAGGTGCTAATTGGAACGATAGACTCGATGTAACGTAAATCGAATCTTCTTTCATTATAACACGATGGTAAAAAAAATTGTCAAAGAACAAAGGGTCTAGTGGGCAGGTAACAACAATGGGATAACTGTTAATTTACATTATGATGGGCGTTATAACATCAACTAAATAAACTAGTTCAATCAAGCAACGCAAGTCAAACTCGGAGCGAACCCCTCGCGTCCACCTGATATGTAACTAGAATAACAACCTTCTATTAGCGTACCGTCAGTGTTGATACAGGGTGTTAAATTGATTTCATTAAGGTTTAAATGGTAAGTTTTAAATCTACATGAAAAATTGAAATTTGTTATGCTACATCATCATGGTGACATGGGCCAACCAAGGGAATCAAAAAACGGCAACGCTGTCCCAGTCACCCGCCTTGGGCCTTATCAACATACGTCGCATACATTTTACGATGCCTTACTGAGCCTATTGAATTCGACAGGAAACAACACTGAAACGAATTACACCAAACTTAAGTACGACAACAGAAAATATGATTAAAATCTTTTCGACTGATGTTTTGTAAATAAAAAGTGCATTTACTTCATGTTTTTTGGCGTTTTCTTGACAACAATTATACACATGTTCAATGTAGAGACTTGCAATATTATTTTAATAAGTACCATATTCCTTGACGATGAGAAAGTCGCATTGGAAAAGCAATTATGCATTATAAGCAACGACTACTTGAATTCGGCTTGGCTTGAAATATGGCCACTCCGTGATTAAACTACGTCACAGGTCGCGCACCACGTCATTACTTCAGTAACAACCGCAAAACAAGCCACAATGTAAGTTCTTCTTGAGCAAGTGCGGAAGTTATCAACTGTGTTGAAGATATATTGGGCGGATTGCCAAGTGCTTTTGATGGCAGCATGATTCACGGCTCGGCTGCGTTTATGGTGGAAATTTCAATCAAGCTAATGTTTTCTAGTGACACCTTTCGCATTACAGGCAGCCGGTATCAAGACATAGCGTACGGTTCGTATACCTCTATGTTTGAAGCTTTACGTTCAATATCGCCGTTAAGCATTCCATCAGACGGCTGACTCCCAGCACAAGGCGAAATCTGTGTATGTTCAAGTTCCATCCTAAACCACAACGTGTTTTTAAGATCAGCAGGAAAATACGTGACCCAATACGCTACCATGCAGACATGGTCCGTATACCATGATATTTGGTGAAAATACGATATATATCGAAGAAAGTTTGAGAAAGAAAAATGGTTTGTACCCCTCTAAACTAGCTGGATTACAGCTGGAGCGTTACGATTTATTTTGCTCTGCAACAGCAAAGCAGTTAAGCAAACGAATAAATGGTAACTGCCAATGTTACACTTTATATGGCATACTACATGAACGAAGGTATCCGGCATAACGAAAACCATTGGCTAATGAATTAAGGATAGACAGAAAAAGAGACAAAAATCATTGATTTTCGATAATGACGAAGTAATATTCATCGTAGATATATTTTTCATGATACAAACAAAATTAATAATTGTAACTGGTGGTAGGACTGAACCTTCGAGTATATTTCTTATCTGCCAAAGTTGCAGTCGCCTTCATCAACTGCCTTGCGACCACTGAAAAAAGGAGTCGACGTCTGGCATTGCGTTGAGTTTAATTGCAAAATACTATATAAAACAACCAGACACATCTATCTGATCCTTGTAAGTGCCAACACTTATAATACGATACCCCTAGAAATAATCACTTCTCGCTTATTTACTTTTTGATTCCACTTATGTACTTCGTATGTATCTCCAGTTATACGTATGATTTCATTGAATATAATTCAACTATTTCAGCGTGCAAAGGCATCAAAATAAACTAAACAAGCAATAATAGAATATATAGTATATAATCTTTTATTCTTCTTTTCGTCGAAATAGAAATACAATGATTGTTTGCAAGGAGTGCCGCCTTTGGGATTAAAAGTGAAAGACAGCTTAGAGTGTCGTTTTTTCCACATAGTGAGTGGCCCGTTTTTCCATATAGTGAGTATAGATACGTTTCAATGTATCTATCTGTGAATCTCAATATTTTGCCTTTTTAAACTCAAACTTAGTTCACATCTCGACGGTTTGCGTGTATTAAATGTCAAATCTTTAGCGGGTACCAATTTATCTGTAAGTCGAAAACGATCACGAAAAGGCTTGTAAATAAGAACATAGACATCTAAGGTGTACAGTTTCGGCCATCGCCGTCACTAAACACGAAACAACATAATGCGCGTCAATAGCTGTAGAAGCGCAGATTTATTCCAAAAGTAGTAAGGTATATATAATTTTCTCATTGTATTTAGTTCCATCCGTATAGCTCCGTCCACACAAATTATCTCGTATTTAGGAGCCACTAACTGAAACATCTTGCAGCATTTCTCTCCATCTAAGTAGTTGCTAGCATATCAAAGAAGACATATTTTTGGAGCCGTTCTGATCATGGACTTTGTCATCTTACTTCGCTATCTTTACTACTATGTCATTTATAGTAATGCTCAACTAAAAGAAGCAGCGCAGTATATACTAATATTCAGCTCAATCCTCCTTGCTCTAAAAATGATACTCATCTTTGTCGTGGTAGTGTTTATTATTAATCATACATTTTAAGATTATAACTACTCATATATAGAGTAGTTATAATGTATGAATATAATATATTTTTCAGGCCTATTAGTTGTTAAGGGCCTTTTCTGAAAGTTAAATGTGCTAAATCCATTCAGCCTCTACAGCGCGTTCGCCTGGCTTAGATAGAGAAATTAGTCCCTATAGTAGTTTAATGGGAAAAGTATTTTCCCGCTGGCTGAAGGGACACTTTGTAGTCTAGAAATGCACACATCGGCATTGTGGGTATATATGTAACCTCCACGAACAGCAGAGACACAATGGAATATAATAAAATTTTAGTAGTCGTTTAGGGCGGTCGTTTTCCTGCTTAGCAGTGTTCTTGGCCCTATTCTTGTTATTGTTGGTGCTTCGAAGAAATAATGAGCTTGTGAAAAACTTAAGCGGTCATCAAAAAGTGGGTTGGATCAATCTTGGCCGCTTTGGCATGCCCTGGCAATTCATGTCACCGCCGTTAAAACATCGATGTATCATCATAGCTCATACGAGCTTGAATGAAAGCTTTGTTGTTTGGAGTTGGTCTTAACTGAGCGCTGAGCGTTTGTAGATATCTTTAAACGGCAAAATAGAACGCACCGTATAGTGTTTTGTTTCTCGTTGCTTATTCATATCACACTGCGCTGTGGCTAAATTTGCCTTGAACAGACTCCGAGATAACATATAGACACTGTTTCACTGTACCGCACTTAACAATGACTGGCTGGTATATCGCCATTCTGGCAAATACGTCTGTGTTTTACGAAAATATATTCATAAGGACAATAATTTTTTCATGATTGGGTGTCGTTTTCGGACAAAACTTTCCTTCGAAATTATTCTTTGTTCATATGGCGTGCAAAGTATATACTAGTGACAAAAGAATTAAGATTCTGTTTATCATCGTTTACTTAAGACGAAGTCGCAACCTCCGTCGATGCAGAAGGTATAACACGAATTGTACGAGCACAGGCCAAAGTAAAATCGCTGCAAGGGTATGTGGCTGGATTCCGCCTAGAAGCGACCAACGGTTTGCCCGTCGGCGTTCCTGTAGAGTACGTTCGAGGTTATCCAGGCGTCGGACTACCTCATCCATTGTGTACTGAAGACGTACGACTGCGTATGAAAGGTTATCTACTGGTTGTATTCGGCTGAATGCGTCGGCGTTATTAGGTTGTCGACCTCCACCGCTGGGAGCTCTTTCCGCTGTAAACGAATCTCCAGCAGAAAAGCCTAACGAAGACTCCCCTGCGATCCAGCCACCCCTCGACGACGACACCGGCGGCACTCCGCCCCCTGGAAACGGTTCCCTGTTAGAGCCCATATACGGGGCAATGGGCGGCGGAGGATAACTGTTTGGGTCACCACCGCCAGCCTTGATGTGATTATTATTGTTGTTATTATTTTTCATATTCTGATACTGCACTGAATGGCCGTTGACGATTTCGGCTTGGCCAGGACCGTCCTCCTGGACATGATTGAACGTATCGGAATAGTCTTCGCCGTCCGTATCGTGATCGCCATCGAGCTTCTCTATGTCATCTTCCGAGTGGCGTTCAGCGTCATCAGCGGCATTGCCATCTCCAACTAGCTTGTGAAATTCATTGGGTACGTTGTCAAGACACGTAATGTCGCCGAGAAGCGGTCGAAAAAGGGCGATATGCTTTGGTTCGGAGTACGACAGTGCCTCTTTTACTTCTTCGGGGCTGGCTTTGCACTGAAGTTGCTTGATTGTTGACACGAATTCACTAACGTATTTCTCCATCGCTTCTTCCTTTGTCATCGACCGGAGTCCGTTCCAGGCATCGTATTTGGCCCGACCAACAACATCCCAGAAAGATGGCCGCGAACCTTTGCATGAACCTTCAGTCGCCTGCTTATAGTGTGAATAGAAAGTTAGTTGCATGGCGTATGGCGGCTGGAAGCTGCCATTTTTTGGCAAATTTCGAATGATCTGCACGGCGGCGTTGAATCGGTCTTCGACGGACATCTTGCGCCAATGGTAATCATAAGGTAAAGTCAACAGTGTGTAAAGTTTCGAGATGGTTGTAGGTGCCAGAACAGAACATAAGCGCTAGCGTTGAGCAGTTACGAGCGAAGCTGTGCTAAAAGCGTCCCGTATACAAGATCTCCCATCTGCCAATTGGTTACTGTGCATATAAACACTTCAATAGCATGCAGCGCGTATCTGGAACGCTATATCAATGAGCGCGCAAAATACTTTTTCTCGTATTAAACACATTCTCCCCAATCACATATTTAAATGTCAGATGTTAGCGTCACCGTTTTTAAAGCATGAATTTTTATTGCCAACGGATTCTAGCAGCATTTTTGTCGATATTCTATTTTTTGCCGCCCGAGAGTGGAAGATACCGAGAGTTCGTAATGTAATCACACTCCGATCGCTCTTCACACTAATTCCTGTTGTGTTAGTAATAATGTCTGTAATGTCTGGTCGACGCTCTCGGTTACACTTTCCCACCCGGCTATTGCTCTAGAATAATGTAGCTTCAGTTCATTTGAATCTCTTTTTGGTTGTAGATCCTATTACCACACTGTTGTGGTCAGCGAGACAGGCATCGAACAAAGTTCACGATCGCACTGAACGTCTACACAAAAGAACTCTGCGACTCTTTGCCCGATCGTTCTGTCATACCACAATAACAGATAACGATACAATCTTTCGACATGAGCTACTCGGTTGTTTACAATGAGTGGCCAGCCAATCGCACAATCACGGGCTGTCGACAAAACCAAACACGAACCTACCTAAACACATTTTTCCTGAATATGGAGTCTATTACTTGAAGGAGAAGCTGATGGTGGGCTAGCGATCACCATGCCACCTGTATCGCAAGCTGCCGAGGGGTTAACCGCTCGTCGATATTTTCGTACGTGTTATCTATCGCAACGCATGGGGCGCCATCTTGTCGACGTCGACGTCGCGGTCAGAACTGCCCCGCCATTACTACAGCAACAACTATCGCGGCGCAGCTCCTGACGGTATTCGGGCGTCGATGAACAAACACTATACTGTCGAATACTGCACTGTTGACCTTAGCATGTACAATTATTTTCCAAAAAAACTGTCCTTGCTGTCTGACGTGCCGTCGGTCTGTGAGAACGCTACGGTTGGTTACTGGAGCACGAAAACCCTTTACAGCTTTTTTTGCCTCTGGGCCGATACCTTGAAATGTCATACAAATAAGTGGCGACACCTGCACTGACTGGATCACATACGCGCTCGCAGGCGACAAGTGGGGAGGGTCGATTCAGCGAGAAGGCCAAACAAATAGCAACTGAGTAAAGCAAGACGGCGGAGCACCACAGTCGACCAAGTGGTAGCTGAGCGGGAACCGTTCTCTGACAGAATGATTGTTTTGAAATGATGATGCGGCTTGCGAGAGATGGAGGGAAAGAACTAACGGTAACGAGTAACAGCGTTGGATGAAGAATGGTCACCCAGCTTAGTTTGCGCCACCATTTCGCACAACAGGCTGCTTTTTTTTACTGCGACCACTTCTGACCGAAGTAAAAGTATTGTATATCCATATATACGTATACACGTATATATATGCTGCCTAGGAGGTACATGGTAGAGGTGATAAAACAAACGTGAAACTCGTTATTTTTTCGCCGAACGATTACAGCAGCAGATTATTAAAGTGTGAGTACTTACCCCGATACTACCTGAAGCGGTAGCTAGCAAGGCTAGTATTATACGGCTTTGTGTTTTGAGGTTGTCGTCCGGTGTCGCCGCTAGACATTTCACCAGATGGCTGGCTCCCAGCACGCAACGAAGTGTATCCATGCCTAGGTTCAAACTTAGGCCGCAACGTCGCTGAGTGCAGCAGGCAAATATATTACCCACTAAGGTATTACCGGAGACTGGTCTCATGCCAGTTTGGCATAAGTCGCATATATGAATCTAGACATTAATGCAAAAGGTTTCCCAGAAATCCCCTTACAGGAAAGTATCAATCTACACAAGATAAAGATGGCAAACATAACTCGAGCTGTTCGATGGTTTACGGTCTAACTTGGAAGAAAGAGATGTCGCCTACGAGAGAAAAACTGTTTTCACATCCCAACAATGCCAAAAAGCCAGCGCGCTCACCTTATTGTACTTACCTTTAAAACCGGAAGCTATGCGTCACTCCAGGCCGAGGATCAGTCAAGGACCGATGTTGATAATAATCTTATCGAAGATATTTAAAGATTACTTCAAAAGTGTGATGAAGCAACCCTATAAATGCTGATTTTATTCAGTGATGAATATATTGCGCAGTCTTTGAATTGCTAGATCGTCTTGTGAAAAAACTATCTCATATACAGTCACATTTTTTTTGGACAAATTAAATTCTATGTGTTGGAAAAACATTTAAGAAATATGTTACAAATTCCTTAATTAAAGTAAATCGACTTTTACTGTTCATTTTTTTTTGTTTGTTGTCGATTGAATGGAGGTGACTTCACTGGCATAGGCTTTTTTAAAATGTATATTCTTTAATCTCAATTCGGTTCTTTCGATTCGCTCAGAAGTTATTCGTAGGCCAAGCTTTTTTTCACGATTATATTCTGTTTTAGGCAACATAACTGACTAAAGTTTTTGTTCCACTAAAGCGTAGCGGGTACTGAAATAGTAATCGACTCATTGGTGAGCCTACAGGCACGACTCATACGTGTCCTAAAAACAAAAGATTATATTCTTCATGTAAAAACGTAATTTATCGACTGTCATTTTGGTTGCAGTAATGCCATTTATCAAGCTTCTCCCCCACTTATGTCTATGGCTTTGCAGAGGGAGAGCTGAAGGTTTTAGTCGCCATCTCGAGGAAACAGCGACTAGGTTTAATGTATGATCACAAATGTCTGCGACTAAGTGTAAACAGAAGGCCTGCTACTATTAAATTTCGAATCGGAATAGTATATCAGGTACGCTACGAAGAATAGATAACGACAACATCTTTGCCTATGTGTGAAGGTTTGATGTGACCAGTGTGTTGAGGTACGTCTGAAAATTTCATGGCCGACGAATTTTAGCTCAGGCCACCTTCAGCATATTTTGACCGCAGCACGGCAGTAGAAGTCATGAAATGACTGTTCAGGAAAAGTTTCGAATGCATGTAATAAATTACCTCTGAAAACAGCAGACCCAGTATAAACGCTGTTATTAGGTCCGCTCGTCTTTCCTTAGGCCGGAACGTCAGTTGCACGGTGCCATTTAGTTCGCTATGAGGTCCGAAAAATTATAGCCACTGGAGTACGTAAATGGCCAGCATCTTGCGCCAACGGCCACACAGTGCAGTCTATGAATCAAAATGCCACAGAAGAGAGGCTGAAGTTCTTACATGAAATAATTAAAAAGAGCACGGGTAATGCACTTACCGCATTAAAACCCACTCTTACATATAATTTTTTTATAACACACAAAATGAGTTTGTCTAACAACAATACCTAAGTCTATGATAGTGGTTACAAATGTTAATTATAGATAATGTCCATTTAGCTATAATGCTACTCAAATGTAATACGACACAATAGAAAAAAACTCGCCTAGGTGCGCGGACCTTATATTTGATTTACTTCCAAGGGATATGTCGATCCACGCCTTATCTCGGTCTTCAAGTTAAGTACATATCGTGCTGTCATTAAGGTAGTTAGTAGGGTACTGCATACGACTTGAACTACGTTTACAATTAATATTGTAGCGTAACATATCCGTATGCATCTTTTGTAAGTGTAGATATAAGCGGTATTGTGTTTAACGCACCCCTCTACTTTTAACGAGCGTCCCGGCGTGTCACGTCACCCCTTATTTCACCCGCTGCAATAACAATACGCATTCGAAATAGACAATTTAAGCAAGTCGTTTGTTTGTCGGCTGTGTTATAGAGCCTAACAAACCGCACATCTCCTTTTTATTTAATCCATCTTTTTAATTATTTAGTCTTTATCTGCATACGGTCGAAGTATTTCGGTTATCAAGCCAAAGTCGCAGGTTCTCCCTTCTTTGTTGCTATGAACCTGAACGAGTGCCCCATATATAGCTTAAGCCATTCCTGAACAAATAGATGCTACGTTCTTTTCTGTCTTGTGTCATTCTCTCAAAACCGAGAATGTTGAAGACAAGTATTTTGAGATTAGTTAGGCCTTAGGTCTCTTCCTCGAAATCCTTTGGTTTTGTCCAGTGCGTCCTAGCCAGGGACTCGCTTGTTTTACCGAGCTGCGGAATAGATATATTGCGACATGGTAAAGTCACAGAATAAGCGTTAAGTCGTAGTTTCCGTAGTTCTCCTCTTGCGGGGAGAAATATCTAATAATAATAATACATCTGTTATCGTAAAATACGAACGCCTTGATGATCCTTCACAGGTCCTGAACTTGTTAAAAGGCCTTTGGTTCCACCATTTGAAGATTAAAGTCTTAGATAAAATAATTTATTTTTAATATAATTGGGAAAGGCTGCTAAAACGTTGTCCTAAGGCATATGATACCTCTGCCTTTAGAATCCGTGTTATCTGGATCTATTTTTTTTTTTATTTCTGGGCCTTAAAGTAAAACAAAGATAAACAAAAGTGTTGTGCGCGTTTCAACCCTGTCCGAAACTATTACTAACCTAGCAAGGCTCATGAATCCTTCAAAAAATTTTAAAATGAAAATTAGTCCGGCGGTACTAACCTTACTTGTATAGAGCTGATTGGTTTTGCTAGCTCAAGCTGTTCCGTGGAAACGCGTACGTTCTTATTTAGTTAACGGTTGCAATACAAATGTATAATTATAAAGATATTTAATGTCAGCCATCGTCAACTAATAGAAGTATTATAGTTTCCGTTGTTTGGCTCGTATTGGGAGAAATTGTCAAAGTTAATTTCGTAGGAATATCGAGAACATCAGGCACCGTAACAGGGCACTCTCCGGATGAGAAGCATCTATTAGACTCTGTCCGTGATCTGGGGTTTTTCGATGTGTCCATATCCATCCCTTTACATACAGTTTAGAAAGTTTCCTTTTGCTTTACAAATCGTTATGGCTAACGATTTGACTGGACCATGTTATTTTATGTCGAGTTCGATTTGGTGTAATAAAATCATATTGCTATTAATTAAAAAAATAAACATTTCGAAGTAAAAATCTCTGCAAATATAAGACAGAAGATAAAACGATTCCAAATTAAAGTAAAATGTTGGGCAAAAAATTATTTTGAAAAGGACTGTGAATACAGATTATTTGCTCTGCGGTTTTACTACTTGTGGTTGGATATTGACTTGAATTACGGAATATAGTAAATTTACCAAAAGATTACGTGGTAACGTGAATCTAATTTACCAACAACAAATAAAGGAGGCTATCAGAAACTATTTAACCGTTGTACCTATGGCCGACTAGGCACGTACAGTGACCCTCGACAGCATACAAAATGATGCCCCTACAGAACATTCGAGCCTTTGGAAACAGGTAGCCTATACCGCTATAGGACAGATCCGTCTGACCCTACCGTACAAATGACTATATATGGGCAGTGTTGAAGTGGAATACACAATTAGACCATAGTACTAGTGCTCTCTATAACGAAATACACCAGAAAAACGGCTATATCCTTTTCATTTCCGGTGACTTTATATCTCCGAGCATTCTCCTGTATGTAAACAGAAGCCACACGAACTCTATGGATGAAAGTGCAAAGGAACATAGTGATTCACCTACGATAGAGCTCATATATGTCCATCAATCAGAACAGGCAAATTTAAATATGCCGTCGTTTAATTATAACCTCTACATTACTCCAGTGATCGACCAGCCGTAATTTTTTCGCAGATCGACATATTATTACTTTCTTTTCTAAGCAAAGAGCTTAAAGAAGATTTACACATGTACGTTAGATTACGGTCATCCAAATTTGCGTTAAAGCCGAATGAAATGTGAACTAAAACGGATTATGTTTACGAAATTGCCGACCTTTTAATACCTAGATAGTTGGCAATGGAGACAATAAGGTCGCTATAAATATATTAACGCATATAAAGTTTTTGACTACCTTTGATTCTAAGCCGCGTACAGATATTTTCTAAACTTGTATCTACTCTATAAACCTAAACAGTGCTAAGTTGAAACAACTATTAGAAATATTCCAGCGAAGACTGCAATCAAATTGTTGTACGGGCACACTCTAGCTAATAATATTGCATCTCCGCTGGCGTCCTGTTCGGTTCACGATACACACTTCACATGGGGCTTATTATTTGTATTTTAATGTAAATACATACGGAACAAATCAATATTACACATGGCGTCTGTTATACAACGAAACCAGTAGAAAGCAATGAAACTATACTGCACGCGTAAGGTCAGCCATCAAACGACGGTTAATTAGGTAGGTATTCTGATCTTTAGCTAGTTTTCCCGACGGCCTGTACCGCATTTTCGCACACATAAATCTGAGAGCCAAATTTGCTACTCAAGAACAGACTTTGTCCTTGTCCCAGCAGGTTTAGCAGGCCGAGACAGCGGGCAAACGACCCGCTTTGCTTTTTCCCGTTGAAACTGACAGGACAGTGTGAAGAGAGCGAGAAGGCGTAGCCGTGAAGCGTTTGTTATCTTCGCTTCGTTCGTAAATTTGGAGATGAATTCACGGAAGCTTTGTCCGTTTTTTTCAGGCCCGACTTACTTATGCAATTTATCCCTTTTCAAATGCTCTGGGTTTGCCAAACCCTGTGGCGAATGTGTCGACGGAAATCGATTCGTTCAAAAAACCGCGCGGTGATCGAAGCGACGAACTTTGGAAACGTGTTAACGAAATGAAGTGCTAGCTTGATTATGCCTAGTTCACTGAAAATTCATGTGTTGATGAATGATGTAAAAGACAGTAGAGTGGCGTTTCTTTTATTGCTTCAAATAACAAATCACGAATGCCATTCGTATGCGTTCGGTGGCTCTATCTAACCCGTGCCACCTGTACTTATAACGATCATACAAGCCTTTAATTAAGTATACAGCTAAATGGAATATAACGTATATAGTATAGTATAGCATAGCAACAGATGATTTCGTTAACTCGAGGTACAAGAAGCCAGGTCCAATGCCGGCCTTGTTTTGCCAGAGGTCCACAGAGATATTCCAAAGTCATTGCTACCGATTGCATGCTGCGGTTATAATAATTAGTTGTATCTAATATTTCTATTGCACATGAATACTGTGAAATTTTAAATATGCATCATATGAGTATAATATAAACATTGAAACTAGGAGTTTGGTGGGCTTGAACAAAGGGCCGCTAGTTCAAGACCCCGCTATGATATACACTACAGGACAGATATAATAAACTAGAAACATATATATACAGAGTAGGGTGAAAGTAGGCCTACTGAAAGGTATAACATCAGTCAGCGCTTGAAGGAAGTACATGCTTTCAGTTAGGGAATGAAATTACTTTCCAGTCTAATC